AAAAAAAAAAAAAAAAAAAAAAAAAAAAAAAAAAAAAAAAAAAAAAAAAAAAAAAAACCAGAAGAGAGGACTGACTTATCGAACGGGTTCGATCAGATTAGCTGGAGATCCCCTCTTGCCTAACCTGACAAGGTACATGTACCACAGTAAATCAGCCGAAGAAAACTAACTGCAGCAATGGAGATTTCGAGGGGTGCAGACGGTCGCCGAGCTAGACGCGGGGGCAGTATGTGATTACATGCAGTAAGACCAGTCAAGATCCCCTTGAAAGGAATGCCCTTGCTAGTCGTATGTCCCCCAAGTTCAGCGCAGCAAAGAGATGCACAGGCGGCAACAGATTTGGGCCCAAAAGGTCCTGTCCCGTTGAGCCTGGTCCCACTGAGTCCCGAAGGTCTCAAGTAGGTCGTGGACCAGGACCAACGAGATAGGAGTACCAAGGCAGTCCCAAACTGCCTCTACCGTACTGAAAAGGAAAAGACAACTTTCAGCAAGAACTTACCCCTACAGCCATTCAGAAATGAAAAGACATTGCACTGTAGAAAGATATGTCATTTAGAATAGATACATCATCCATCCACCCATCAGGTGAGAAAGCAATCCACATGCTCACACACACAGCCAAGACCGCAGAGAAGAGGAAGAGAGCCCAACACACCCCCAACAGGCCATGAAGCACCAAGCAACCTCCCACGGGCTAACCAGGTCACACGGCACTTACCTCTAAGGCCCGGCCTCCAAAGATGGATAACGACTCACCCCCCTCTCTCATAAGTCCTCCTGACCCCTAGCTACCACTACACGAAGTGTCCTAGAATGACTAAGAGGGTCTTCCTACACCCCTGTTGCAAAGCCGGATCCCCCGTCAATGTCTGAAGACCAAAGTAGCAACTTGCAGCAATTTGATGCAGATATGGCAGCCTCCGATCAAGTCTCCCTCTTGAGGGGAAGCCCAAAAGGTACTCAATGTCTTCTTGAAGTGCAGATCCCAGGTCCGAGTACCTCTCACTCTCTACTCCCTCTTGCTTACTCCAATCAGCCTCCTTTGTGTCTCGCCACCCCATCCAATCACTCAAACAACCTGGTCAAGTCCGATGTCGACCCTACATGACCTAACCAGGTGGGGGCAGTATCCACATACCTCACTGCCCCACTTAACCCTAACTTCCTAACCCTAATCCGAGATTAGGTTAGTCCTAACCCAACTCGAAATTAGGTTTAGGGTGACTAACACCTCTCGCCAGCAAGTAAGTCCACTCCGATACCAATTGTTACGATCCTGGTCCTTTCCCAAGTGCAAATTCACAATGAAAGACAATGCCACCCAATCACACTCTCTGTCCACCATAGGTAGGTGCCTCGCCACTCTCCTACCTCGCCCCCTTCTTCCTCCTCCTCAAGCTGGACTGCTCGCCATAACCAGGCTGAGCTCCAGCGGCCTGTCACCTCCAAGCAGCGCTGCGCTCCAGCAGCATGTCACCAATCCTTGCATACCGCAAATGAGGAGGAGCTACTTGCTCCTCCGAAAGATATAGCGGCCTACTGGCCTCCTGGGCGGTGACTTCCTAGGCCGAGCGGCCTCCCAGCAACCGGTACCTCCTCCCTTAAGGAGGGAAACATCATTGCAGGTTCTGGTAACCTCCGGACAGGCCCTAGACCCGGGCTACTTGGACTGGTACCGGCCTACCTCTAGCCTACCGCTACTGGGCCTCTAAAAATGCCAACTTTTTGTCTTCTTCTGCTCGGCCTCCAGTACCCGACACTTCTACCACTACTTCAGTGGTACCGGCCTACCTGCTACTTGAGTGTTTTTCCCCTTTGCTCTAAGTGTTGCGGGCCTACCCCCGCTACTCGAGTGTTTTCCCCCCTGCAACCCTTCACAGTCACGGCCATAGGTAAGTACCGGCCCTGAGGGGCCTTTCAACCAACAAGTACGCTTGCGGGTCACACACACACTCAACCGACAAGCACTCAGACAGGCATGCAAACCAGCAGGCACGCACACACACACAGACATGGAAATCACAACAGAATGCCGGAATTTCCGCAAGGCATTCATTCCAGCAGCAAATCCCAGAAATCAGCAGTGTTCTCAGTCTGTGTTTTTGGCGGGTCATTACATTGAACTTTTTTCCTTTTCGTAATTCAAATTAATTCTTTTTCGACATTTCTTTGAAATTCGAAAGAATCGAAACTACTTCTAATTCATTCTTTTTCGAATTTTTTGCAAATACGTTAGAAATTAGAATTAATAATTTTTTTTAATATATTTCTTTTTCAAAATTCAAAAATAATTTTAATTAATTCTTTTTCTCGTATATTTTAAACTAGTAAATTCCCTTTTCTAAATTTTTTCTTGAAAACTCAAAAACGCCTTATGTTCTTTTCAAAATTCTTTCTTGAAATTCGGGAATATTTTACTTGAATCCTTTTTCGAAATTTTCACGTTTTCTTGTAAAATCTTACCCCAAAATTAATTTCGAATAAATTTAAACCCAAATCGGAATTTATTTTTCTTCGAAACTATTTATTTCTTTTCTTCCCTTTTCCGATATTTTCAGCGAAAATTTATGGAAAATTTCGTTTTGCAAGTTCCTCCCTTGGATTCCTTTTGAGTTTCTTTCCAAGGCGTATTCTCGAATTAATCTTGAATAACTTTAATCAATTCAAAACAGAACTAATCTAATTCTTGTTTTGCAAATTTTGTTTTTTTGGAAATTATCTTCTTTGAGAAATCACTCGATGACGTTCTACTTTTGTAAATAGGAACCCCCTCC